TGTAATTTGATTCATTTTTCATTTATTAAATAAAGTATACAAAATGTGGAATGTCATGTCTTTATTTTAATAAATTTTTTTTTCGTAAATAATCGGAAATTATCCAATAAATAAACTTTTTAAATTTCTTAAAAGGAGTCCAAAAAGCTTCGCCTTTATTCGCTCTCTTTTATGAACTTAATAAACATATCTATAATATCTTGATTGTTAATTAATATATAAATTATTATTAGATAACGTTCCTATTGCGCCATTTTCTAATACCAGCAATCAATACCAAAGTATAGGCAGCTGCAGCAATGACGAATCTTCCAGTACTACTAACACCATTTGATTTTTTTGATCCGCCGCTAATTGGAACCACACCCCCAAAGTATGAATTCCCTCCAGTGAATAAAATAGTTTGTATAAAGGTTAACCAAAAAGCGGAAGTAGAAAATCTATTGATGGATCTGTCATTGTTATGATTTTCACTTTCATTTGATAAGGATTCCACGGATTTATCAGTTTCACTACCATCTTGAACCAAAGGTTCTTCACTAATCGAAGAATCTAATTTTCTATGAAATTGGTATAGAGAAGATGATGAGGAAGATGATGAGATCGGTGTTAACGGTCTTGTTGGTACTTTTGGTATGAACGGGGTATGTGAAAGTATTTTAGAAACGCTTTGATATGGCATTTTTGCAAGTAACCTATTCAATTTTTTAACGGACGTTGGCATATCTCTTGTTGATACTAGGAATAATATTTGTTGGATTAGTAAGTTAAACATTACCTTTTTTTTTAAAAAAAAAAAGGTAATAAATTTAAGCGTTATATGTTATTACTAACCTAATGAAATTACAGATTTAGGAATCCATCCTTTTGGATTAGCATCAGCAATTTGAGTTACATGACACTTATTTGGTTGATCTTTAATCGGTTCAACGACAACACCGGCACAACCAGCTTCAATTCTCACGATACCCGGTTTTTCCGGACAAAGTCTATGTTCAATACTTCTATTAACCATGACCATTCTACCATCCTCAAGCTGTGTTGTGTATCCAATAGTAACAACATCTCTTGCTGATGTCGGAAATACTGCTTTCATCTTCACGTACTTTTAAAGGGTAAAAAAAAGTAGGATATATCAATAAATAAGCAAATATATTGACTTTTTAAAAGTATAAAAGCATGTTTATTTTTTTATTTTAAAAAAAAAATTACCTGAACCCTAGTAGATTCGTCGATAATCTCAACTATTCCAGCTTCAGCGGTCATATGATCCCACTCAGGCCTTCTCCTGACATCGGCCAATAAATCAAAAGTAGTTTGAGGTGTATTCTCCATTGTGCTTGTGATTTTATAACAACAACTTGATATTTCATCGTTTTTATAAACTTTAATATCCGCCTCTTTGTCTTCATAAATTAAATCCCATAGCGAATCATTTTTTGTGTGAACGAATGCTAACATAGTATCTAGTAAATTTTCAGTTAATTCCGAGTATTTATGTTTCGGTACTTTAATTAAAAAAAAATTGTTTTAATGTTTGATGTATTTTATGTAAAAAAAAAAAAATTTTATTTTTTGTGAATTAAATGAAAATAATCAATTACCGCTTGCAAGCGAATTACTAGCCGAATGTTGTGATGAAGAAGTCTGTTGATGTACATCCTTATTATAATACACTTGTCGTTCAGGTGATTTTATAGATCTTGTATTATTATTATTATTATTATTATTATGAATTTTCAAAGAATTTCCTGAAAAATAATTAAGTATCGCCGTAGATAAACTTGGTATTCCAAGATAATGATGATATGCAAAAAAGAAAACCAATTGAAAAAATATAAAATGAAGACTATCCAATGATCTCGATAGAATATCTAATTTGAAAAAAAAGGGCGAATATATTAGTGACCATTAAGAGAGAAAGTTAACATTTGTTTCACAACTTACGTCTATTTATTTGATGCAATATCATAGGAGGAAAACCCAATATAACAACTAAAGATGCTATGCTAAAATTATTTTGTTCCAAATTCATTGTTTTGGATGCAAAAATCAAAACTTTAAATATAATTGATTAAAAAAAAATATTTGAAATCAAAAAAAAAAAAAAACGTTTATAAAAGAAAGTTCTTCAATAAACGGGAACAAGATGATCAGTTATTTACTTAATACATTATTAATTAACAAATGTTGTGGATCTAATCTGGTTAATCAACAACGTTTTTGTTGAGGGGCGTAATGTAATGTACGACTAAGGCACATGACGGTTGTCACGTGAAAAGAATAGCGCAGAAAACTACACTTGTTCGAATGAATGCAATGCATTTAATCAAACATTTTTACTTTTAAGGATGCAGAGAGATATATCCACTGAAATATTTGTGGCGTAGTGTTAATCAGAAGTTATGAGCGGAGGGATTAATCCAAATTAAAGTTTCGTTTCATTTTATATTAAACATTTTAAAATTTACGAAAATTTTCTAAATTTTCTTGAGGAATTTTTGTTGCATGACAAATTTTTTTTTTTTGACCATTCAGAACGAATTATTTATAATTCTAACTTTATTTTAAATTTAGCAATTTGGATGAAAGGTTAAAAGGATTATCGGTCATTTCATTCTTTATTTGTCATATACAATTTCTTTAAAAGAATTCTTTTTAATAATTATGGCAAATAATTGCACCAATCATTATTCCAACAGATTTTGAAAACAAACATTGTACTTACCGCAGCAAATAATTACGCCATCTTACTAATAATTTTTCATGTCCTTCCATAAACATGGTAACGAATCCTTTATGCGGTTAAGCTGTAAAATTGTTAAGAAGCTAAATATTGTTCTATTGAAATAATTGTTGAGAATTATTGAGAAAACGGATCTCTACGGATGGGATCAAGTGGAATATTTAGAGTACTATAAATATATATGAAAGGATTATGTACCATTTCATGATAACGGTCTTTTCTGACACTTTTGTGCTCCCTTTATAAATTTCCAAAAAAAGAATCACATGATTATTCTCTTTTTTTTTTTGTTAAAAAAGAGACTTATCCCAAAGGAATTATATAATATATTAAGACGATTTATTTCGGTTATACTGGCGTTCTTTGTTCTTTCTGCAATGCCTGTTTCGGCAAAGACCCTAACCACTTCTAGCCCTTCCATGTTTTAGATGTGCTCGCGCACCTCCAGGAGATACATAATCATTTAAAACACGTTAAAGGATCATTGAACGAATTGTCATATGATTTTTGTGAATCAAATATTTTTAAATTTTTTGAAACACATCCCTAAAATGACTTGCACAAGTTTGTTTTATCAACAAGAACAAGATAAACCATGCAAGTAAAGCAGGTAAGTTTCTTGTTATTTATTTAATGATTTCATAAATCCTTATAGAATGTAAGACGATTCCTTTCTGCAATTTCCGATTAAGTAATAGATAAGAATAAAGTTGGGTTCTTTAAAAGTGGTTGGATCAAATAGGATTTACATAAAACTCATTATGATAAAGGAAATCTATTTACGAAATTTATAGAAACTTGGTCCTTTTATTTTTAAAACTAGTTTTTTTTTCAAATTTTTGCATTTGATTTGAGTCCACTTTAAAATTTATTTATTTTTAATAAAAAAAATTTTTTTTATTTATTAAAATTTTACAATATAATAACAGTAAACATTATCAATAGTCTATATTAAGAGTCAATTATGCGTTACGTTTCACTTTAAACAAACAAAATAAAAATAAATGCCCATGTCCAATCATTCAATTTTTCACGGCTTATCACGTGACTAGCAAAAGTGAAAGACACGAATATAAATTTATTCTAACCAACCTTCCAACAATCAAGATGGCTTGTTTAATAAATGACCTGCTTCTCTATCTACCGAACAACCAATATTTCTTTTAATTAAAGGAATCGTAGTATAAGTTAATAATATGAAGTGTTACCGACTCATTTTATGTTTTAATAATGTTGGGCGGCAAGATTTTAATAATGAATGATTACAAAAAAGAACTTTATCAATGATTTTTCTTGTTTGATTAGATAATTAAAGGTGATATATACCAGCTGAAGGGAATGCTCAAAAGAGGGGAGGGACTACATGCAAATGAGAACAAGCAATTTCCAACAATTAAAAGTCTATTTTGTGATGGTGCATATTCAAGGAAATAAATACAGAAAAGGTTCGAGCGGTAATTGTAGGAATCGAACTTGTGTATTTATCAGCTTGTGGTAATATATATTGTTCTAAATTTTATATTCTTTTTTAAATAGAAATCAACAATCGAATTTTTCATCAGAAATGATTGGCGGTCTTCATTTTACTCTGTCAGGTTAAATCGTTTACTCCGATTGCAGTAAATCGCATATCCAAGAAACTAACTATTTTGGGTTATTTCGCTTGAATAGATTTTTCTCTTATTATTTATAAGATTTTTTTTTTTTTTTTTTTTTTTGTTGTTGCATGATAATGAGGATATATATAGTTACATTTAATTTTAGACATTTTTAAAGTGAAAATATGAAACATGTTTTGGCGCAGAAATATCAACAATTAATTTATTAATTTACGTTATGCAAAGTTGCATGGTCAAACTTGAAAAGATGTGAACCGTGACATCAATGAAAATTGTGTAACGCCACTGGCACAATGCGAATTTTTTTTTCGTATTATGATGTACGAATTGCATTGCATATGAAAAAAATTTATTTTATTTTATTAAAATTCCTACCACTTTAATTACCATATTCCGAAAGATTTTCGTGACAATAATAAATAAATTCGGGTTGCTTTCCCCCTTTTTTTTTCCTATCAAAAAATCTTTCCCAAGGATTTCTCTCTCATTTTTAAATTTTTTTTTTTTTTTTTTTTAAAAATTTTTTCTATATTTATAATATTTTATTTTTTTTTCCATTCTATATATATTATATATATTAAAAAAAAAAAAAATTCTAGCGAAACAAAAAAATAATCTATACTTTTTTTCTCAACATGAATCTTTTACCTTTGGATTGCAATGCGGAAATATTGGATTATCTACGAGATGATGAAAAATCACTATATTCAATTATTCGCGTAAATCGAGCATGGTGTCAACTTGCCATTCCATTATTATGGAATCGACCTTTTAAAGTGAAAAGAAAAGCATCGATAATTAAAATTTTAATATCATGCCTTTCAGAAGAAGATAAAATATCAATCCTAGAAAAAGAGATTGATTATTGTATTGAATTAAATCAAGCTCCCCCATTATTTGATTATCCCTATTATATACGAGCTTTAGATTATAGATATCTTGAAAGTTCAATTGAAAATTGGATTTTACAATTAGGTGCACCCTCTAAAGATATCGGATTAGTTCTGTTTAATTTACTTGGAAACTTAATATTCTCACGTTCGCGTGGATTACTTATTTTAACTTTACGTCATTATGATTATTATTATTGTAAATTTGGAAAGCATTACACGAGTGTTAAAGACATCTTATCATTTAAACATCTTGAACGTGCTTTAGAACAACTTGAAAATCTTGAGATTGGTCTTTATTCCGAACCTCGTGAGAATTGTGATGTTATTTGCGATTCGATGTCAGATTTCTTTTCTGCCTTATCAAAATATTCAAAAAATATTCAAAAAGCTACCATCGAAATCTTATTAGATTCATCGGAAACAGATAAAGTTACCAAGGTTGCTAATTCATTTGCGGATTTCATTAAATCTCAAACAAAACTCAGGAATTTGGAAGTTAATCAATCCTTAGGTGGTACCTTCACAAATTCATTATCCGAATCATTGAATTTTCTTAAATTTAATGATTTAAAGAATGTACATAGTTTACTCCCTGCGCTTAGCGCTTGCGAAAGATTGGAAACCTTGGAAATCTCGGGACATTTTGGGGTTGAATTGATTGAAGATTTACATGGATCTGTTAGCGATTTGCCGCCGATCAACATAACGAATTTGCATGTTTATCAATTGGAAGAGTTTGAATCTGAGAAATACTTGGAGATGTTCATAGTAATTTTACTTAATTTAGCACAAAGTACTTTAAGATCTGTTATATTAGATTACGTTAATGTACCAATTATTGAAGCCATATTAGGGTCTAGTTCTACACTTACACACCTTGCTTTAAGTATGATCCTTGTAGATGCTTCAGTCTTTATTACACATTTATCAACTTTTACGAGTTTAGAAACTTTGATTTTTATACAAGATTTAAATGATGAGGAGGAGGATGATGCCATGTTTAGTATTTTACCAAACCTTGCAAGTCGTTTACCAACGACATTGAAATATTTAGGTTTATGGGCTATAATGGATAATGCAACTTTAGATAAAACATTATGTAAAATTAAGGTTCCTATAGAAGAATTGGACGTTTTTAAAAGATTTGATGATTCCGATATGGAAGCCGTAATTAAATACGCCCAAAAAAATCCAAATTTGAAAAGACTCGGTTATAAAAAGGTTACACCCTCTGAATCTAAATTATCAAAGGACTTATTGGATCGAGCTAGTTCTATCATTAAGAGCATTGGTGACACGAGACCCATCAAAAATGCTGTATGTTTGTAATTATATAGGATAAACATTTTTTATTTCTTATTTTATTTATTTTTTTTTTACCTTTTTTTTTTTTACATTACGTTAAAAAAAAAAGGTTTCAAACCAATTGTACAATATAATAAACGTTAAATATTTTACCTTCACTTCTTTTTTAAATGGAATTTGTAATTCGTTAAGTAATCAAAATAATATTACAATAGATTTAATAAAATCCGCGTACTTTTGCAGAATTTCAAATTTCGACTTTTTTTTTGTTTTTGTAATGGTTTTTATTAATCTTCAAAAAGAATAATGCAAGTCGGTAAAGATGAAACAAGGGTATGTATGTCTTCGAATTCTGTAAATGCATGCACAACCCTTTTTAAAGATCACATAGATCTGTTGTATATCTTTAACCCTACCCATATAACCTGATACATTTTCGTTGGTTTCGTTCAATTTTTTTTTTTATTTATTTTTTTTTTAACGAAAGGATGCTCGTTAAAGAAGAAACTCGTTGTATATTCAATCATCTCGTGCGGAGTGCCCGAATGTAAGAATATATTTATTACCTTTCCTTTTCGGCTTTGACTTTCATCCCGTGTGATTTCATGTGTAGGAAAAAAGTCAACACGACATTTATAAAACTTTCATCGAATATCGTGACTTTTATCGAACGGAAGCTCAATTATAATAGGCACATAGTACTTTAATAACATTTTAAATACAGGTCTTTAATTCATTTTTGAGCTTTTATTGCTAGTTATAACGGTCGTTGGAATCGTAGTTTACGAGTGAATCAAATGGCTTTGTCGTGAGACGTGACTGAACCAAAATTTTTTGAAACTCGAATATCAGTACGTCTCAATTCAAGATTCAAGCGTATTAACAAGATGTAAAAATGGAATTTGGCGAAATAATTCAACAGAAAAGGTTTTAAAAATTTAAATCAGGTTAATTCAATTCTCGTTAAATTCACAAGGCTAAATTTGGTTAACAATTATCAAGTGATTTATAATTAAATTATGATTGACAATTTTCGTGGTTCATTCGGTGGGGAAGCATCGAATTTACCACGTTAAAATTATATAACTTTTTTTTTTTTTAGCTATCCTTATTATTTTTATTATAAAAAAAAAACAGGGAAAAAGAGAAGTAATTACTGGAATGTGATAAACAAAGAACTTCTCAATACATATATTACCCGAGAAAATAAAGTGCAAACTTGACCATAAATCCGATGATTTTAAAGTTGCGATATTGACATGTAACGATAAACAAGGGGTTGCCTTACGTGGGACAAGCGGATATTTAAATAAATGTGTCTTGTTTTTTTTTGTGATTGTATGCGTTAAAATGTTCTTTCGCTTTTCCCATAAATATACTGACGCACCTGCCCGAGGATTGTGTACAAGAAAATAATACAAAAACTTTTCGAACCTCTGTATTCCTATTTAGTAAATTATGGATTACTATAGTAACTAACTATAGTTACTGTAGGGATAAATCCATGTTCTCTAAAATTATTCAAAACGATGGATTTTTATCATCAAGCACAATCTTACTTATCCCTTCCAATTAAAGCACAAAAAATCTTGAAAAATTTCGAAACCTTTATGGAATTTTCAATAAGTTTTATTGAAATTTATTGAAAGTCTCATAACATAAAAGTTATCATGTGACGATAATGGATTAATCACCCCTTTTTATCTTAATATAATCATCAACCACCCAATCAACATTTATCACTTTTAATAATTTATTTGCATCCCATTGACATCTAAAAATTATCATCGTCAGAAACAATGATTTTAAGGTTAGTTATCCACAAAAAAAAAGTAACTGAATCTGAACAAAAGGTCATTTAATTCGTTGGGTGGTTACACAATTGATTTGGATCAACGGATATACGTTTACACGTTTTTCTCGGCGATAGTTAAATATTGATCGTAAGTTGAATCCTAAAATTATGGCAAATATATATATATATTTTATCAGATTTAGATTTAATTAAATTAAAGCATATGAAATTCTATTTTCGATCAAAACGTTTTTTCGGAAATTACCTTAGATTCTAAAGGAATTCTAATTGATTTATTAAATGTGATGTGAATATATCACTCAAAATTTTAGTGGAAGATCATGCCAAAATTGTCAGATATGAGGAACAGATCTTACAAATGCCTTTTGTAATACATTAATCATTAAATTTTTTATTATCAGATGAATCCAATGATGTAATGATGCTTTCACGTGCGTGTATAGCAAAGTACAGTTATGTCATGTTATACATATTAAAATGCAGATCCGTGATATCTTATATATATAAGGTAGCACAGTAACAGACATGACATAATTATCTATTTGTCTCGTTTCTGCGGTAAATGTGACCCTTTTTTTCTTCTTATGATTTCATTCTTATATTTTCTAATATGCACACCTAATATTAGAATTCTGTTATATGCTTTGTAATAATATAATTATCAATAATCTGGAAAATAGGATTTAATTGAAAAGGTAACAATATGATTAGGAAATGATTTTTTGATTAATTAAAACATTGTTTTGTTTATGAATAATTAAATGTTTTTCAACAAATATTAGCAAATATGGAATCCAAAGATAATAAAGATAACCTACAAGAGACATCAAATGATTTTTCTTCTAAAGAAATAACTAATCAAAAAGAAACAAATCATGCTTTAAGTCAAATTCCATCAGAAATCCTTGTGATAGTTTGTGAATATTTAAGTCCTAAAGATCTTTTTTCTTTAACACTAGTATGCAAAAAACTACGAAGATTATTATGGTCCTTTTCTTCTTATATAACGCAACAAATTTGGCGTAATGCAAGAATCAAGTTGTCAATTCTTGATGAATATAAGGGAATTCCTCCTCCTGAAGGGATCATGTCTGAGCAACAGTATATTTGGTTGATTCATTTGACTGATGCTTGTCAATTTTGTGGAAATAAACGAAGAGGCGCTTCAAAGATTTATTGGCCTTTTAAAATGTACTGTTGCGTACCTTGTATCAACCTTCGTACTTTAAGGTAAACAATTCATTTTTTTTTTAAAAAATGAAATTTTTTTTGTTAATTCGATGCGAAATTATTAACTATATCTTTATTAGTAATGAGACGGCAAAGAAAAGAGGAATTTCATATACAGTCTTTGATATTTTACCTCACATTGTTCTTTATCGTGATATTCTCAAAGGTTCAAAATGTGATAATAAATTAGATAGATATTGTTTGAGAAATGAAGCTATAGGACTTCAAAAGGAATATGAAAGTATTGCTGATTTTGAGGAAAAATTAAGATGGGTTGAAAAGAAAAAACAACATCAACTTGTGATTAATGATAAACTGGTTCAGTATACTCTTCGGGAAGAAAACAGAATCCAAAGAATTTGGAGAGAAGAATATAGATTAAGATTTGGTTACGTACAAATTAATCGATAATGTTAAGGAAAGAGTAAAGTAAAATTATAATTTTTTTTTTTTTTTGATTTCCAGGTAACATGGAAAAATTCTTAATTATTACTTTTAATTAGAAATTTTTTTTTTTCGATAATATCGATATAGTAAGTAATTTTGCAATAATAATTTCGTGATCATGTAGTTTAAGAAACAAAGAATTTATTAAACTGTTGAGTTTTCATTCATATTTGAAAATGTGAGATTCTTTTAAAGTCACGTCAAATGTCTTTGAAAGAACGTGACTTCGCGTAGCAGAAAAAGAATTAATAAATGCGCGCGTCATCAATTGAAAAGATTGTCGATGACAAAAAGTAATTAGTTGGATGATCATATAGTTCCCACCCCATATACGTAAAAGTTTTGGGGTTGATTCGTATATAACACGTGAGATAGTAATAACCAGTTATATTATATTTGGTACAATATCAATTCTTTGGAAAATATAAAAAAAATTTCTTTTTTACGAATTTCTTGGTTTTTTGCGATAAAAATCATTTTGTTGTTTTTGTACCTCATTTAGAAATAATCATCCGCATAAAAAAAAATGATAGCGTCGACATTACCTTCTGAAATTTTAATAGAAATCTTTAGTTATCTTCATCCAAAAGAACTATATTCACTTTTATCAGTATGTAAACGTTATCGTATAATATTATGGTCAAAATCATCAACGACAACTCAACGTATTTGGCGTTCCTCAAGGATTCGTTACTTATTACATACAACTATCGAACCACCTGAAAATATGTGTGAACAACAATATAATTATTTATTAATAATGGTGAATGTTTGTCAATTTTGTGGTGAATATCGGAAACTTTCATTAACCATGCATTGGGAATTTCGTTTATATTGTTGTAAAGAATGTTTATCACAAAGATGTATTAGGTAAAAACTTTTTATAAATTTTTGAATTTGTTCTTTTACAATTTTTTTTTTTTAAAACGAATTTTTTTTTTTCACTTGTAAATTCCTTGAAAATAAAAAAAAAAAAGTCGAAATACACTTGTAGAGAAATTGAAAGTGTCTGGAGAATTGTTAACTTGTTTACAACCAATTTTAACCCCTCCAAAAAAACAAAAAATATTTTTAATATCAGACGTAAGGGCAACATTGAATGAATATTTTAAGATTGAAGATGAACAACAACGACTAGATTGGATACAAAAATCCCAATTAAAAGTTATAAATATGACGAGATTGCATAAGGAATACAAAACTCAGTTTGATTTAATTAGATATAGCGTTAAGGAAAGGATTCAGAGATTAAAAGATGGATTCAAATTTTATCAAGTTACCTCTACTCAAAATTAATCGGAGTGAAAAAAATTTTTTTTTTTTGTTGTAAATTTAATGAGCAACATTGTGAATTGCTTTTTATATATCTCTCTCTATACATACATTGAAATTGTAAATTAAACATTATTTATTATCGTCATTCCATGTTTAGAACATTTTTTTTTTTGTACGAGATTAAGTTAAAAATTGGATTTTACAAATTTTAACCTATCGAATTAAAACATCTATTTATATTCAATTTATAAAAAGATATATGTTGATAGATTGATTTATTTATTTCGTGTCACGTTGTGAAAATTTTTCTTTTAATAAATATTCAAATCTAATAAATTATAAACTTCTGAACAAAATTATTTTCTTTTATTCTTAAAATATGTCAATTGGAAAAGTAGATAACTCCACCACTTGCTTTAATTGGTTAGAAAAGGCAACATCAGAAGATTACATCAAATATTATGATTATTCAAAGTTCACTAATGAAGAAAAAATTGTTGGTTCTTTTGGAAAAGTTTTTCGTGCAAACTGGAACGATTCTGATACCGTTATGGTTCTAAAATCTTCTCACAAAGCAGATATAAAAGAACTCATTAATGAGGTCTATTACAATATATTGCAATACATTACCTTCTTTTATAATTAAATATTGTATATACGATATAATAGATAAAAATGCAACGTGAGGTCGATTATCATGCGAATATTATAAAATTTTATGGAATATCAACGAATCCAGATCACAAAATAAATAAATATGTGTTGGTTATGGAATACGCAGATGGCGGAACATTAAGGTCTTATTTAGAAGAAAATTTTGATAAACTTGAATGGAGTGATAAATATAAATTCTCGCAAAAGCCGTAGCATGCATGCATAACGAAGGATTCATTCATTGTGATTTGGTAATGTATTGTTAATCATTTGTCCTGAATTTTGATTGTCTGTATAAGTATTAACTTTATAAATATAGCATGCACAGAATATACTTGTACATCAGAACAATGTAAAACTAGCAGACTTTGGTTTATCTCGAAAGATAATTGATGCAACGAATCATTCAACAGATTTGTTTGGTGTTGTCCCTTATGTGGATCCAAAATTCCTGAATATTAGAAATAACAATAATTACATATTAAATCCGAAATCTGATGTTTACGGTGTTGGAGTTCTCCTTTGGCAAATTTCAAGTGGGCATAGGCCTTTTGATTTTTATAATGAAGGATATGATGTAACTTTAGTTATAGATATTATCAAAGGAAGAAGAGAGAAAATTATCAAGGATACTCCTTTTGAGTATAGAGACTTACAGTATATAAAGGTATATATTAATATTGGTATTAATTCATAAAAGTAATTATTTATATGAACAATATTTTTAAATTAATAGCATGTTGGAATGATGATCCAACCAATCGTCCTACTATGCAACAAGTGGTTGATTCCCCTTAGAGTAATTATTTTTAAAAATAATGATCCATTCCGGTCTATTATTCGTACGGAAAATAAAGTAGTAAATGATAGTGTAAACATTCATAGTGATATTTCCGAGTTATTTCTAAGTAAACTCATACAAGAATATAACTTGGAATCAATAGATAATGAAGGCAATCCACACATATTATATCAAGCAAAAAAATATTTTTTGGAAATATTTGATGAAGAGGATAGTATGGAAGTTCTCATTGATAAGTTAATTCTACTTTTAATTAAAACCCAGGATGATGGAAATGGCTTTAATGAAACTCGACATTTAATTAATCAATGTATCTTACTTTCAAATCGTAATTCAAATGATATTTTTTGATTGGCTTAAAGAGAATCAAGTGGAATCTAAACATATTTTTCTTTTGGGATTTTTCTATTTCAATTTTGAACATAATGAAGGTGAAGCATTTAAATTGTTTTTAAGTGCTTCAATGAATAATTATCCTATTGTACAAGTATATCTTGCAAATTGTTATAAGGATGGATATGGAATCGAATTAAATTATAAGTTAGCGTTTTATTGGATACAAAAAGCCATAAGAAATAAAAGTATTTTTGGACAACTTATTCTTGGTATCTATTATGAAAATAATATAGGAACTGATAAAAATTTAGGTGAAGCTTTTTATTGGTATCAAGAAGCTGCAAATAATGTAAATTTAAGCGGATTATACAACTTAGGTAGATGTTATGAATTGGGTAAAGGAATAGAAAAAAATGAAATTTATCTGAAAAAAGAATATATAAATGGAAAATATAGGCTTGTAATCTGTTATTATTTTGGTATTGGAACCAATATTAATAAAGAAAAAGCATTTAAAATATGTAGTGATTTAGCTGAAAAGGATTATATTTATGCACAAGCTTTATTGAGTTATTTATATAATTTTACAGAAAGAACAGAGAGAAATTTCGAAAAGGCTATTTATTGGTATCAAAAAGCAGCAGAAAAAGAACATAAAGATGCACAATATAATCTTGCACTTTTATATGAAAATGATGAAAGAATAAAAAATAATTTAGAAAAGGCCTTTTATTGGTATCAAAAAGCTGCAGAAGTGAATGATAAAGATTCACAATATAATCTTGCAGTTTTATATTATAATGGTGAAGGAACTAAAAGGAATTTAGAAAAATCATTTTATTGGTGTCAAAAAGCAGCAAACAATGATGATAAAGATGCCCAATATAATCTTGCACTTTTATATGAAAAGGGTGAGGTAATATTAAAAGATTTAGAAAAAACATTTTATTGATATGAAAAAACAGCAGAAAATGGACAAAGTTCCGCACAATATAATCTTGCACGTTTATATAAAAAAGGTAAAGGAATCGAAAGGAATTTGGAAAAGGCTATTTAAATTCTGCATAATATAAGATTTAAGTTATATAATGAAGTCTGAAATCAACGATAATGATAAAGTATTAAATTATTAATTACCGGTATCATAAGACTTCAAACTACAATAATGATGTGATAAATAGAAATAGAAAATGCTTCAAGAAAAATTTAGTTAGAGCATTGAAATTTTACAAGAATCGGCGTATAGAGAGGAAATATAAAAGTTGGATATTATTATGAAAACAATTGTAGTTGATAATAATAAAAGGAAAATATCTGCTAAGGAAGGATAGGGAATGCTAAAAAAAAAAAAATATTGGAAATGTATCTTAGTTTGGTCAAAATTACGTAATTTCTGGCCAAATTGATAATGTGAGCTAGAATCGGTTGATTAGTTTGTATTTATACCAATGAGTTTCTAAAATTTAACAAAATTAACCAACTTTTCAAAGCTTTTGAAAAAAAACTGTAATAGACAATTATTGTGCAAATGTTCAATAAATTAATAATAAGAAACGAAGGGGTCAAAGGAAGGATAAAATTAATTATTAATTATTAATTGCTTAAGCTATACGTTTTTGATCACTCTCGTAAAAGAAAAGTCTCCTAATTTGCTATTTCTTATTCTAGTTATATATGTATATATATATATTTTATTAAACAACTCATCCATGAATAGCTTTAGACGAATGCATAATGCGGGAAAGGTGCTACAGATATGGAAAAAAATATATATTGTATTTGCATTTGTAACGAAGCATTATATTGATTATTTTTAAAAAAATGTAAACATTATATTGCGAGTCAATGCTTCGTGTTTCAATACAATGCTGGCAAATGACCTTGAAATAACCTCAAATGACATGATTTTTATATCAATTCAGGTCAAAATGACAAAGGTCATTTAAAAAAATAATAGTAAATGACCTTTATAAATTGCCATCACTGTTTCAAGGTGTTTGGCGATTATGTTATAAAGGTGGTCACTTTTCAATGGTTCAATATGACGACAAATAATAGTAACACGCTTCTCCCATGCTTTCCCCTTGCAAGAAAGAATTTCCATTTACTTCCATCTTAGTAATCACATGTGTATGGTAAAAAATATTGTCTCGAAAAATTCAGCGCAACCATAATTTCACGCGTGAGAATTTTGTGATTTAGCTCGTTCCTTTCTTTTCTGAAAAATAATAATTTTTATTCATAGTTAATTAAATTATTGCAAAAATTATGATGCCTATTGAACCTTCAAAAGAGTTGATGACAAAAGCGAAAAAAATTGTAGATTAATAAAAGCAACCCTTTTTAACGCCATAACTAAACCTTTTCGACATAGTTTTCACAATAACAATGTGTCTTATATTGATTTCAAAATGACTTCTACTTACTTTGACATCGATTACCACAATTTGAAAAACAAAAAAATGATTTTATCGGCGTTAATAATTACTTTCAAACGATTAGTCATGACAATGAATTTCATAAATTTATTTGTGTTGTATCGAAGTTCCCGTAACGAGTTCCCACAATGTTTTTTTTCGGAATTTTGTTGAGAAAACAAGTTGATGGCGTAGCAGTCACACATCATCTGACGCGGTCAGAGCGCAACTAAACCATAAAGCAACATGACGTGTTCATCTTTATATAATCTGTTAAAAAATGAACTTTTTATTTTTATTACATAATAAATTAATAATAAAAAACAAAGGCGAGGTGAATAGGGGAAAAAAATATTTTTTATTTAGATCACTTTAAATAATAATAAGAAAATCCCTTTTTTGTTTAAGTTTATTGGGACTGGTTGCGTTATATTAGTCTTTTCTCTTGAGCACGCGCAGAAATACATATCTTATCTTTTGACCCTTTAACTATAAAATTGTTAGGCATGAGAAATGATGATATAATTTATACGAAAAACCCGTTTTCATTTCACCAATTCCCAATTGGTTGGATCTAATCATATGTGCGGCTTAAAACAGTTGTGCTCGCGAAAATCTCCTAAAAACATGCAGGCACGTGAATCTTTTAATAACAAATGTTTGAAATGTAAGTTTCGATGGATGGAAAAATAAAATTTTTTGGTGAAAATAATGATCTCGACTTCCATCTTTTTGAGAGTGTCCAAAAAAAGAACTTTCTTTTTTATTATTTTTATAAAAAAAATTTTTTTTCAAAATCGAGATCACATGAAATAGTTCAAGAAATCGATCCTTAGAAGCAATTCTATCCACGATTTGCATATAGCGGGATGATTTACATGTTCATGATGATTATTTCGGTAAATTTCAAAGTAAGTGGGATTGCTCAAAAAAAAAAATACATTAACCAATTTTAACTAAAAAAAGAACAATATTTTAGGAACTTTTAATTACTTTGAATAATCAAAAAAAGGGAAAAACAAGGAGGAAAAAAAAAAAGGAAAAAAATAATAATAATAAATAAAAAAAAAAAAAATAAAAAGTCAAGAAAAAGAAAACAAATAAAATAAATAAATAAATAAACGAAATAAACGAAGAACAAAAGAGAGAGAGTAACATCGACGGACGCTATTTTCGATGGCGTTCTTAGTGTAGTAATTTTGGGTTTTATACACAAAAATGCATTAGAGTTACTTCTTATGTATTGTTGACAAATTCGGAATTGTAATATGCGTATCTTGCATAAAATCAGACAATTTGCCTTCATTTTTTTTTTTTTTTTACTATTTATATTGTGTTTCAAATGTTGAGAAATTTCGGATATATATATAAATATCATACAAACAATACTTATTTCCAATTATTTGTTTTCTTAAAATCATAAATTTTTTTTTTTTCCCTCGTCCTTCAAAAATTTTTTGCTTGTCAAATAAAAAGAAACGCAATTTTAAAAATGGAAGTGTACAAGTCATATTACTTTGAAACAAAACATCAACGAATATCATCCGCTACATATATTCGAGAATTACTATATTCCATGTTTACCATTCTCCAACCAACAAAAGAATCGTATATTCCTCATCCGGTACCAAAATTTCCTTTAAGACCAAACATAAGCCAACGAGAAAGTATTGGTTATTATATAATCCTTACATGGCAAGAAATCTATGGGAAACTTTTACAAAGCTTGGAAAAAGATAGCCTTTCTACGTGGACACTTGAAGAATTACATATTTGGTGGGCGATGATTAGACTTCTTCACATATGCTTGATGGAACTTGCATTTAAAAATGGATGGGGTGCCTTCTTCAAGCACAAAGCCGATAACGCAGAAAATCTTTTAAAACTATTCAAATTTTGTGAAATGTCATTTAAAAAAGATTTGTCTTATGCAAATGCGGTACATATCAGTTTTAATGAAATCCTAGGTGATTTCAAACCATGTAATTTGGAACAAGCAAAAGGGTTACTTCCGGTCATAGAAGGAAAAGTCTTGTTAAACTCTCAACATGATTTTAACAATTTATTCGGTATCGAAGAAAGCTTCATGCTCGAAGGAACTAAAATCTCTCATGAAAGTCTTGAAGTTAAAAATTTGAGAACATTAATTGGTAAAGTACAGGAACATATTAAACCGTTAATGCTTTTATTACAAAGATAATTCCTTTATTATTATTTTATTTTATTTATCCTTTTATTCTGTACTGGTTACTAATAGTGTAATATACAATACAAAAATAATAAACATAGAATGTTTTCATTCAAAATATACATTACTGTAATTTAGGAAAAAAAGTGATTTCGGTGTGGCGCAGCAGATAGGTCATTTGTTAAAATAGAATAGGGTAATTTTTTTTTTCTCAAAAAGATCGCATAAAGAAAATTTTTATAAATATTCCGAATACAGCATGACACAAATTACATAATGCACTGTATATCAAATGCGGTCTGTGGCGTAATTCACGGAGATAATAAGCCGAAGTCCGTTAACATTCTTCATTTTCCATTTTCATTTTTTAAAATAGATACAATTACTATAGAACAATTCAACCTTTGTAATGAAAAAATCATCCCAAAAATAACTTTCATCCAAAATTAGATCGGATAATCATTTTTATAATGGCGGTAATGGAAATTCAATATAAAACAGCTTTAAGCCTCCGATCAAAATTACTTGTCGATCAAATAATTTTAGATTATTGACAATGGACGAATCCCAAGCCAGATAAATTGAAACTTTTGTAATTAATGGATCAACAAGATAGTTTAAGTTTTTCTCTTGCCGCCTTTGCCAAGAAAAGGGTTCTGCATCTCGATAAAGAAATATTAACATGGTTCATCTGGTACCGAGGATTGTTAGTAAACATGTCAGACATCAAGACGATTCGAATCCCATATCTACATATTTAGGGTCTTAAAGATTTTCATGCTTAATTTTTCAAAATATAAATATATATAATATATACTGTATATATTAAAAGATATCTTGCTTAAATAAATTGGATCCC